GCTGGAAGAGGCGACGACTTCTTGCGATTAAGGAGATGATTAGCCACACTGAAAAGTCGTTTCGAGTCCGTCCCACAGTCTTCTATGAGACTAACGTAATAATTACGCTTGGCCTTGCGAACAAGAGAATTGACAACCTTTCTGTGATTGCAGTACAGCTGCCGATCAATTTCCAGCTTGCCTTTGAAGCGCCACTTCCGTTCAGCTTGTCGACAACTACGTTTCTCAAGAGCAATTTCATGGTTGTACCACGGGCTGACAGAGTGATTCCTCCTGCTGCGTTTCTTAGCAGGTGCGACAGTGTCGAGAATGTTGCATAGCTGAGAGTTGTAATTGTCAACAGCACTTTCAATGTCAATGTACGATGAGAACAACATAAATGCCTGACGAACATCAGTAGCAAGTCCAGTCCGGTCTATCACTTTGATATTTCGCACAACCTTATAACTGCTATTATGATGAGGTTTATTAAGGTGAAGGTTGCAAGTGATGGCAGAATGGTCAGATATGCCAGGTATGATATGAACATTGGAATAAAACTGACACTCAAACTTGCGAATTATTAATACGTCAAGAATATGTCCCTTCTCATGGGTAGGTTCACCAATAACCTGTAAAAGACCATGGCTAGAGAGTAATTCGTTGAACCTCTTTTATAGCCTTTCCTTATGTTATCCTTTGTTTCTTCCTGCTATAACCTTTTATTATGCAATCCTTTGTTTCTTCCTGCTATAACCTTTTATTATGCAATCCTTTGTTTCTTCCTGCTATAACCTTTACTTCAAGTTATTCTTTGTTTCTTCCTTCTGTAACCTTTACTTTATGTTATTCATTGTTTCTTCCTATGGTATCCTTTGTTTTTCTTCCTGCTTTAACCTTTACTTAATGTTTTTTGGTTTCTTCCTTCTATAACCTTTACCTTTTGTTATCCTTTGTTTCTTCTACAACCTTTACTTTATGTTATCCTTTGTTTCTTCCTGCTATAACCTTTACTTTATGTTTTTCTGTGTTTCTTCCTTCTGTAACCTTTACTTTATGTTATCCTTTGTTTCTTCGTTCTATAACCTTTTCTTATGTTATTCTATTTCACTTCCTTTTCTTATGCTATCCTTTGTTTCTTCCTGCTTTAACCTTTACTTCATGTTTTTCTTTGTTTCTTCCTTCTATAAACTTTTCTTATGTTATTCTATTTCACTTCCTTCTATAAACTTTTCTTATTATGTTATCCTTTTTTTCTTCCGTCTGTAACCTTTTCTTATGTTAGCCTTTTTTGTGTTACTTCCTGCTAAAACCTTTCCTTGTGTTTACCGAAGCCACAGATTTGTTGGCCTGCAAAAGGGACATAATACCTTCAACAGGGCAGAGGTGTATATTGATTCTTCTCCAAACCAAGTCAGCTTTATTGCCAGATTCTCTGAGTCCGCAGAAGACCTTCTTTGGAATACTGTTTTGATCTTTCTGAAAGTTAAGGTAAATATAAAAGTGAAGTGAACTCTGACAATAAAAAAATTGAAATGATCGATTGATTCTCATTTCTTACGATTGTTTCTTACTTTGCTGTATGTGAATGAAAAAAACGACGTGGAATTACACAAGGGTTATGGACGTTTATATTTGTATCGCAAGCAAAATGCCTTTAATTAAAGGTATAGACCAGTTTTGGAGACGCCACCCTCTCAAAAAATAGAAATGGAAGCCCTTATTACCAATCATGTGAATGAATATGTTTTGACTAATACGTGATGATACAAATTTTGCCGGGAAACCGCCTACTAATTGATATATTTGGTAAATTATCATATTGATCCAGCCTGGAAAGATATCGCGAATGCACTTCAACATCGAACATTAGGGCATATATTTCTGCTTTTTGCGAATTTAGGTTGAAGGATTTGAGGGAATTTTGAAACAATATTGAATGGATATTTTGAACCCAGAACCCTTGAACCGCAATTTTCCCAGTACCTGTCTATATCTTAAGAGGGATAGTTGAGTTTTGTTGTGTACGGTGCTATACAATATAATTTTCCTGTGATAGAATAAAAAAAAATGAATGTCAAAATTGAAAGAACATACAATTTAAATGACAAAATCATCTTCTTTTTAAATCGGTTTAGAGACGGCTGAAATATCCATAAATATAACTATTTCTAATATTTGTGGGGCCCCCCAAATATTCGATAATTTTGAACCAACCGTTGTAAAACTAGATAGCGCCTTATACGTTTTATTCCAGCCAATTCCAATGTTGCCTTTTTGTTGGCTTGTTCGTGATTTTTTATAATATGCATAACCAGCCGGCCCGTATATTATTATTAATAATAATAATAATAATAATAAACTCTATACAGAGCGAATTTATTTTTCATTTCTTTTTTACATAATATAAACAATAACAAAACAATAATAAACGTAATGGTATAACAGAAATAAGCATTGAAATCTCTTTGACATTGTTTTTTAGTCATTGTAATGCAAAATGAATTAATTAACGGTCACCGTATTTTATTTTGTCAGTGGAGCTAAATTGGTGTGATCGTACATGTATTAAATCTAAATTTCACACATTTTGGGGTCTAAAATTACTTTCATAGCAATTTTAGGTTCTAAAAGGGCAGTTAAATGTCATTAATAAGAATAAGAGCAATAACCATGCACTTTGAAGGCATTTGCAGTCTTTAAATTATTGTATTTCCGCATACTGCTCGTATAGAATAACACAGTAGTCATCATACATTAGCTCAATGTATTTTTTTATCACGAATTTCTTTCTAGCCAAAAGGCTCTTTTTTTCTTCAACAATTTCGAGTGAAGTATACTTGGACTACTTTCACTGACTGATAACATAACATTGTTTTACTTATAAATCTGGATGGTCTACAAAGACGCCAACAAAAAATAGAACAAGAAGTCTATCAGTATCAAATAGGCTGTTTTTTCTTAAATACCCCCCCCCCCCAAGAACTATTATTACCTTATTTGCCCCCTCCCCTTTGTCGGAACTAAACATTAATCCCCGTAAATATCACAGTATACATCCATATTGTGATGTTTAAAAGTGCATCAAACACGATCTTAAAGACTTTAGAAAATCAACTTAGGTACGATTTCAATACCGAAATGCTATAGAAATGCCTAAAATGGATTCTCGAAAGTGTTTGCGGTCGCTTTTTCCCTTGCTTTTTGTGTAACCCGATTGAGACGGCTGATAAAAATCAACAACAGTCAAAAACAGCTTCGGAAAACTGAGAACAAGCAAATACAAGTACTTCGAAACCAGCAAATAACGCACAGGAAATAAAGAGCCCTCATTGTTTAGTACAAGGCATTTATGCAAAAGGCATGAGGGAAGTCAGCTTCCTGCTGATATTCACGTATATGGTTTTAAATATGATTTGATAACGCTGTTACTCAATCATTCACAAAATCCTTAAATGATAAGTCATAATATAATTCCTTTTAAATGGCATATATTTGAAATGAATGCATCCACAACAATATTTTTCATAATATATGCATCGACGGCAGGTTGATTTTCCCCTTCCTTTTTATACACACGGACTCGCAGTGAACATAAAGTGTAATTCTGGTTTATAAATAAACGATACTTGTTTAGTTGCTCGTTTGCAGAGATATTCAAGTTCACAAATTAAACCAATCCTTAAAACTGTGCCCTTTATTGCGTGGACTAAAGGGCCAACAGCCATTGCCATGGCTCTAAACTTTAATACTATTCCATTGTATATAGTTCAAGATTTATTGAGTAAAAATAATAATCATGACATAAGAAAAAAAAATAACATAACGAAAGGTTACAGAAGGAAAAAACAAGGAATAACATAAGAGAATGTTATAGAAGTAAGATACCAAGGATAAGTTAAGAAAAGGTTATTGAAGGAAGAAACAAAGGATAACACAAGGAAAGGTCATAGACGGAAGAAACAAAGAATAACATTAGAAAAGGTCACAGAAGGAAGTAAAATAGGATAACATACAAGAAGGGTATTGAAGGAAAAAACAAAGGATATAAGAAAAGGTTATAGAAGGAAGTAATTAAAGGAAAACATATGAGAAGTTTATTGAAGGAAGAAACAAAGGATAACATAAGAAAAGGTTATTGAAGGAAGAATCAAAGAATAACATAAGGAAAGGTTATAAACGAAAGAAACAAAGGAACATGAGAAAGACCTTCTTTGGAATACTTTATTGTTTTTTTCTTAAAGTTAAGGTAAATATAAAAGTAAAGTGTACTCTGACAAAAGCAAAATTGAAATGAACGATTGATTTTGATTTCTTCCGATTGTGTCATACTTTGCTGTATAAGAATGAAAAAACGACGTTGAATTACACGAGGGATACGGACTTTTAAGTTTATCGCAAAATACTTTTACTTAAAATTATTGTATTACCGCATACTGCTTTAATGTGTAGATTTACACAGTAATTCTACATTATCATAATATTTGTTTATCTTAATTACGAATTTACGAATTAGCTCATTCATCCGCCAAATCCTTAAATGATAAGTCATATAAAATTCCTTTCAAATGACATATACTTGAAATAAATGTATCCACAGCAATATTTTTCATAAAATATGCATTGACGGCAGGTTGATTTTCCCATGCCTTTATACACACGGACTCGCAGTGAATATAAAGTGTACTTCTCGTTGAATACACGGTACTTGTTAATTAGTTGCTCGTTTACAGAGATATTCAAGTTCACAAATTAAATCAATCCTGAAAACTGTACCCTTTATTGCCAGGACAAAAGAGCCAACAGCCATTGCCATGGCTCTAAACTGTAATACTATGCCATTGCATATAATTCAAGCTTTAGTGAGAAAAATAATTATCTTGACATAAGTGAAGAGTACGTTACTAAGCATCTGTAGAATGTATCCGCATATGCCTGTGGTCAGGATTACAATTTAATGTGGAGGTTGGCTTTAAAAAAAATTGTCTTCTATTTCATTTTCAGACTCAGCAGGGATCGGTTATTATGGCATTCATACAACGAGCACCTCTTCTACGCTGTCTGCCATTGGTTATAGTATGCATTCTAACCCCGACGCTCATCCAAACCATACACCAAGATGCCATGTTTACTCCTCCTATGAAATGTCAGTATGATGTCGAGCAGAATAAAGCTGATTGCCATTTTCAAGGATTTGACTCCATCCCTCAGAATCTTCCAAACAATATTAAAGAACTGGACGTCAGGCTCAACAATATCACTTTCATCTTGAGTTCTTCTTTTAAGAGATACCCTTTGATCCAGGTCTTGGATCTTTCCTCAAACGACATTAGAGTGATAGAATCTGCATCTTTTTACCCTCTAAAGGACTTGAATCGTTTAATCCTAAATGGCAACCCTAATCTTGTTCTTCCAGCTACAGACCTATTCAGGTGGTCTAAGAACCTGTCCATCCTGGATCTGTCATTTTGTTATCTGAAACTGCTTCCAAACGACACTCTTAAATGGAGCCCGTCTGTGGAGTCGTTATACCTTGGCTTCAACAAACTCACTTTCGTAAACATGAGCCTTTGTGGCAGAGCAAAGAATGTTCGGTTGGTTGGTAATAAAATCAAGCATCTCACGGCAGAATCTTTTATTTTCGGATGTCAAAGTTATTATGTGGATCTGCGCGCGAATCCTATTAAATCAGTTGACCCGAACGTTATTGCATCGTTGCATGTCCGATCACTGGTCCTTGGGTACTACCCTTTGACACTGAAGGATACTTTTAGCGGGATATGTCGCTCTGAAATAGTAGAGCTCGCTTTATTTATAACTGATATCAATATCACAGTCTTGCCACGAGATTTCTTTGGTCACTTGCGTAATTGCTCTCTTTCCGTGCTAAGATTAGCAGGGAACAAGATACAATTCCTCTCTCCGTACGTGTTCTCAAACTTGACACGACTCGTGGAGCTTGATCTATCGGTCAACAAAGTACAATCCCTCTCTCCGTACGTTTTCTCAAACTTGACAAGACTCGTGGAACTTGATCTATCGTGCAACAAAATCCAATCCCTCTCTCCATACGTGTTCTCAAACTTGACAAGACTCGTGGAACTTGATCTATCGTACAACAAAATCCAATCCCTCTCTCAATACGTGTTCTCAAACTTGACAAGACTCGTCGAACTTCATCTATCGTACAATGAAATCGTCACTGTTGAACCGGTATTCTTTCAAGGCATGCGGGAGCTAAAAGTATTGAACTTGAAAAAAAATAGAATAAAATATATAAACCCAAATACTGACGTATGGGCTCTGGACTTGAATGAGTTGTACTTACGCGGCAATTCTTTGACAACACTCTCAGAATTCGCATTTTTCGGTTTGCGAAATCTAACGCTGTTAGATCTGAGCTTCAATAGAGACCTTATTGTCCTGGAAATCACGTCGTCCTCGGAATTGACGGGAATTCAAACCATCAACTTAAACTATTGCCTTATTTCCAGATTTCAACCGGTAGCCCCGAACTTAACAACCCTTCACCTGAATAACAATGACAACCCAATGGTCTGCCCCATACATAGAATATCCTTCAAAGATTCACAAGAGCTTGTAGATTTGGAAATCCGTGAATCGGGCCTGTCGACAAATGATCTATGGGATATACTCCTGAATGTCTCTATTTTTGACGGATTGTCAAATCTGATTATTTTGGATCTAAGCTTCAATTATTTTAACATTCTAGATAATTTCCCAGCTAGGATCTTTGAACAACTCTCTGCTCTTCAGAAGCTTAGTTTAGAAGCCTGTCGTATTTCAGGCCTTCATCCATTAGCTTTTATGGGATTGGAATCGCTTCGGGTGCTAAATTTACGTGGGAACACAATTCAACAACTTAATTTTGATATATTCAAAGTATTAGAACTAGTGACAATTATCAATCTTGATGACAACCGTTTGGCATACCTCGATGAACAACTATTCTCTAACAATCCCAGACTGACTACTCTTTTGCTATCAAACAATAGATTAACCCGTCTCAACCAAACGACATTTGAACCGATAGAATCTTTGCTTTTATCTTTCGATTTGTCATTGAACCCTATCGTTTGTAACTGCGATCTACGCTGGTTCCGCGATTTGGTTAGACATATTGACGTCATTAACGAGAACAGAACCGTCTGTTCGTCGGCCTCTTTAGAGCCTCTTCGCAGGAAACCTTTGCTTGATTTTGATCCCAATAAACTTTGTGGACTCAACATAGTTCTTGTAACCTTGACTCCTCTCGCCGGCATTTTCTTGGTTGTCATCGTCGTAGTCCTTTATCACAACCGATGGCCGTTAAAGTATAAACTCTTTCTCTTGAAACTAATGGTAATTGGATATAAAGAGATGAGAGACGCCCGAAACCACAACGACTACGAGTTTGACTTGAATATCATCTTCTACGATGACGACGAAGAATGGGTTCGTCAACAACTCCAACCAGCTCTGGAAGAACGGCTTCCGCAGTTCCAGAAGAACGTCTTTGGTGATCAAGACCTCATCCTTGGTATGCACTATCTGGACGCTGTCGACTACGTGGTGAGTCATAGTTACAAAACCATCATTCTACTCAGCAGAGCCGCCGTGCACGATCGCTGGTTTATGCTCAAACTCCGCACCGCCATGGACCATGTGAGCGACACCGAGACCGAATTCGTAGTCGTGGTCTTTCTCGAAGACTTCCCTGACGAGGATATACCATTCTTGGCAAGGTTATATTTAAGTGACGGCAGACCCTACCAACATTGGACCGAGGACGTGAGAGGACACGATTTTTTCTGGAATGCCCTGGTAAAAAATCTTACCATTAATCTCAGGACCAATGACTTTATCCCCAACGAGTAGTAACGGTCTGACTTATTTTCGGGCAGACCCAAGCTAGTTTGTTCCATACATTACTGTCCACATCTCAGATTTTAGTATATCTGATTCATGTATTAAGCCAAAAGCCCTACTAGAGCTTGGATCATACTAAATATGAAGTGGCAAACACATCTGATGTCAATTTATATTCAGAAATCCATCATATGTGGTCATGCATAAATTATGATACACTAAATGGCGTAATACCTTGGTTTTGCTCTTGTGCAGTATACCGGTTGAGGGAAGAAATAGCAAAACATGACTATTCATGTTACTCTAGACCAGGGATTCCCAAAGTCTGGACCGCGGGACATGCTAATCCGGACCGCCGGGGAGGCTCTTTTTTCAAACCTTTAAAGGTCCGGGGCAGATTCCACTCTGCCCCTATCTTTTTGGTACCAAATGTATAAACGTTCGATCAAAGGGTACCATGGCTACTGCGTAGTGTTCATAAATCACAGCGCTGCAAAAATGAACATTTCCCTATAAATTATGATCCGTACAAAATGCAGAATTGTTACTTCTCGGATATGTGAGTAGTTAATTAGTAATCATTCAAAAGCCATTTGAGACATAGATATGAAATTTCATGGACGTATTCTTTATGAGATACTCTATCAATATTCCAAGTTTAATAATGTTTTGTCATTCCATGGCTGAGATTCCAAGGGGACAACCACCCCAGCAATCTCTCCATTTGTGCCAATGTTTAGACAGATTACTGCCGGAAAACAATGCTACTTTTCATACTGATATACCCTACATGTATACTAGAACTTCCACTTTTGACTGTCTTAACTCTTGAAATGAATGTACATGTACGTGTAAAGACACGAATGTATAATATCGCAAGCCTATATTCATGGAAATAATTGATTAAGTAACCTAAATTTGCCCATTGTTTCGGACCATTTAGCTATCATGGAAATCACATCTGGACCGCCAAGGAAAAGTTTGAGTACCCTGCTCTACCACTGAGCCATCGCCCCTCCTAAAAGTGGGCTTTATACTCGTATGCAAAACACATTTCCGTACAAAAACACACACCTACACGCACAGCGGTTTTTTGCAACGTGACTATTCATCCAGGGTAGACATTCTACAGCGTTTCAATATGTTATATTCTTTTCTTCTTCTCCTTTTATCTTTGTTCTGTACTAATCTTTTTTTACGTCTTGCATTAATAATACGTTATCACAATCAGGGAGTTAAAAATAACGCAGGATACTATTTCTAGCTATAAAGTTAAATAGTAATGTTTGATTAGTAAGACTGATTCGAAAACCAAAGTCCCAAATGCTAAAAACTTGACAGTCATGCTTTTTTTGTTTATAACAATCAGTTTTGGTTTTGATCCAGCTCTCCAACATTCAACAACTCATAGCAGTTCACAGAAACTTTTCTGCAGGTCTAAATGAATCTACTTTTCCTTCTCAAATATGAAACAATTTTTCTTTTTTCCCACTCTTTCATTATCAAAAACTAAAAGCTATTTGAATCAAAATTGCAACAACGAAAATCTACTACAAATTTCCAATTTTAACTTCAAGAAAAAAGTGATTATGAATTTCACTCTCCGTTGTCATTTCAAAGATTTCACCAACAAAACAACAAAAGTCATTGAAATATGTTACTATGCTATGGGTTACTCTCTGTTAAAATTTAAAATAACTAGTCATTGAATACTCGTAATACATATGTATAAACAAGACATTTTTAAAATTTCTATTTCGTATTTTATGCCTCAATCTATTAGATGTTTTTGATAAAAGGATCAATTAAGTTTTGGTTGTGTAAATATCTTAGGTGTGGTATGTAAATTGTCTTGATATTGGTTATATTTGAAATGTTATAATTAAAATATCATCGAATATATGTTGATAACGTGTATGAGCAACGATCATCGGCATCTGCAAAGATGAATTTGATAAAAAGATCAATTAAGTTTGTGTTGTGTACTTAGTGTAGTATCTAAATTATCTTGATATTGGTTATATTTGATATTTTTTTATTAAGATATCATCGAGTATAAGAAACAATCATCGGTATCTGCAAAGATGTATTTGATAAAAAGATCATTTAAGTTTTGTATGTGTAAATATCTATGTAGTATCTAAATTGTCTTGATATTGGTTATATTTGAAATATTCATTATTAAGATATCATCGAATATATATTGATAGCGTGTATAAACAACGATCATCTGCAGCCGCAAAGATGTATTTGTCAAAAAGATACACACATACATACATACATAAATATTGATATTTATATAGCGCCTTTACATAAATATGCTCAAAGCGCTTTACATTAGTAAATAAAACAGAATAATTATATTGCTCTCCAAATGAATACGCTGTAAGATCAATTAAGTTTGTGTTGTGTAAATATCTTGGTGAAGTATCTTAATTGTCTTGATATTGGTTATATATTTGAAAGATTCATTATAAAGCTACCATCGAATATAATCGATAACGTGTATTTGCAACGATCATCGGCATCTGCAAATACGTATTTGATAAAAAATTAATTAAGTTTGTGTTGTGTAAATATCTTAGTGTAGTATCTTAATTGTCTTGATATTGGTTATAATTGATATTTTATTATTAAGATCTCATCGAATATATATTGATAATGTGTATAAGCAACGATCATCGGCATCTGCAAAGATGTATTTGATGAAAAGATCAATTAAGTTTGTGATGTGTAAATATCTTAGTGTAGTAACTAAATTTTCTTGATATTGATTATATTTCACATATTCATTATTAAGATATCATCAAATATATTAGTAAAGTGTATACGCAAGGATCATGGGCACCTGCATACTATTTTTGAATAATTTTTGAATGTTTATTACGGTTGTTTTTGTTTTGTGTAGGCCTACGTAATAATGTTATGTCAATATACTTTGTGGTTCTCTTTTGGTCCAGAGTATATGTGTCTATCTAACCAGTATGAAAGTGAATATGATTGCTTCTTAATATAGTCACACTGTGATCGTCACCCGGTGAACACATCATTTTTAATATCTTGTAATATTATGTTAACTCATATATATATTATCATTCTGTTATTATTTTTGTGCATTGAATTAACAATAAAATATCTTTCCCAAGAAACAAACATTGTATCACAACGTGACGATTAAAACGGTATTTTATCACTGTGTGTGAAGGTGTGATCGCAAAGACTTCGAGAATCCGATATAAAATCATGTTCAGATTACGTGACACGTCATTGTAACGTGTGTAAATTTCAAAGGGCGGTGGACAAGATTCCAATCATTGTGTACAAGACTATTAAAATTGACTATGGTTGATTTTTTTTTTCTTTCTCGACAGTCTTTGCGATTATGTTTGTGAGACAGTGTCCCCCGTGTTTATGATTGAAACCCGACGCCAAGCTTAAAGGGACTTGGTTAAATATTTTATTGTATTATTGTATATTGTATTGATATTGGTTATATTTGAAATTGTATTATTAAGATACCATCGAATATATCTTGATAACGTGTATAAGCAACGATCATCGGCATCTGCAAAGGTGTTTTTGATACAAAGATTATTTAAATTTTTTCTGTGTAAATATCTTCGTGTAGTATCAAAATTGTCTTGATATTGGTTATACTTTAAATATTCATTATTAAGATATCATCGAGTATATATTCATAAAGAGTGTTATCAACGATCATCGGCATCTGCAAAGATGTATTTGATAAAAAGACCGATTAAGTTTGTGTTGTGTAAATATCTTAGTGTAGTATCTAAATTGTCTTGATATTGGTTATATTTGCAAGGTTATTATTAAGATATCATCGAATATACAGTATATATATTGATAACGTGTATAAGCAACGATTATCGGCATCTGCAAAGATGTATTTGATAAAAATATCAATTAAGTTTGTGTTGTGTAAATATCTTAGTGTAGTATCTAAATTTTCTTGATATTGATTATATTTCACATATTCATTATTAAGATATCATCAAATATATTAGTAAAGTGTATACGCAACGATCATCGGCACCTGCATACTATTTTTTGTAATAAATTTTGAATGTTTATTACTTTTTTTTTTTTTGTGTGTGTATAGGCCTATATACGTAATAATGTCATGTCAATATATTTTGTGGTTCTCTGGTCCTCAGTATATGTGACAATCTAAACAGTATGAAGGTGAATATGATTGCTTCTAGATATAGTCACACTGTGATCGTCACCCGGTGAACACATCATTTTTAATATCTTGTAATATTATGTTAACTCATATATATATTATCATTCTGTTATTATTTGTGTGCATTGAATTAACAATAAAATATCTTTCCCAAGAAACAAACATTGTATCACAACGTGACGATTAAAACGGTATTTTATCACTGTGTGTGAAGGTGTGATCGCAAAGACTTTCGAGAATCCGATATAAAATCATGTTCAGATTACGTGACACGTCATTGTAACGTGTGTAAATTTCAAAGGGCGGTGGACAAGATTCCAATCGTTGTGTACAAGACTATTAAAATTGACTATGGTTGATTTTTTTTTCTTTCTCGACAGTCTTTGCGATTATGTTTGTGAGACAGTGTCGCCCGTGTTTATGATTGAAACCCGACGCCAAGCTTAAAGGGACTTGGTTAAATATTGTTCAGGTGAGAGAAAATCTATTTCATGATGAATAGTAACTAGTTTCCTGTCCAATCATATCATATTTATAATATTTCTGCCACGGGTGACTGAGCACCAGGGTTTTTAGAAAGGGTTGTCAAAATCGCCTCGTACCAAGTTTGGGCGGATGGAACGAATTTGGGTAAGGCCATATGCATGTGCTTCTTTGGTCTTAAATCCTTTTAAAAGTTAAGGTAGGCCCCGTGCTTTAGTGCTTAATTGTTTAAAATGATGCCATTAAATCCATATGATGACCTTTATTTATTTTGAACAGCCTACTAACTTCTTGACTCATGATATCTAAGTTCTCTCTGCTCATATGTCCGCTACGCCATTTCACAAGCGTAATGAGCATAAGGTGTTTGTCTCGAATAGCAAGTGAAAACCCAAAGGTTACTAAACCTTAATGCAAGAAGAAACACATTGTTATGATGATAAGTATCATAGAAATTTATAGTAGACTTTCATCAAAAGGATAACATCCCAAATAAACTTCAGCCATTTTGTATCACCTCAATGAGAAGGGTTACCTTAAACAAGGGATGCGAATAAAGTCAAGGTTGTAATCATCATAACAAAGAAAGTATCATAAGTTTTACTAGAAATAAGCATTTCCTTGAGTTCGAGTTGATATTAACACCTTTTCTTTTCAACTACCTAATATGCAATGTAACTAAGTGAGAAATATTATTGTTTTGGAATGAGATAATACACACTTTTCCTATAGTACTTAGGAAAAGTACTTAGCGACCA